CCTTGTAAAGCATTATGGGTTGGCAGTGGTAATCAGTTGTGTAGAGAAATCACGACAAATAAGTACAAAACTGAGATATGCTTATGCATAGCTGCTGCTGCCACATGCATAGTGTATTGCATGAACCAAAAAAATCTTAAAGTGAAAAGAGAGTACGAAAAGAAGCGCCTTAATTCAGATTTCAGCAAGATTAGGCTACTGGGGCCTCTTTCTCTTTGTACTTTTCCTGCATTTCACATTGCCAAGGAATAGTATTTCTTAAATGTCTGTCCATTTATTACTCTTGCAAACTTGTTCCTATACAATCAGACCTAGTCAGTCACCTCCCAACTACTTGCATACTAATAGTTATGAATAAGTAGTTATGTACAGATATTTTAAAAACTCATTCGTGCATCGACGTTACAAAAATAAAGAGTCATGGATCGAGATTGGGAACTTTTATTTGAAGGATAGAACTTGAAATATTACGCCAATTCCTAGTTTTCTTAGTCGATTTTCAGTTTTCCCATATCTTCAATGTAATCAGAACAATTCTCGAACCCAATACCTAATTTTCATAGTCGAACTGGTTAGTTGTTCAAGTTTTTATGACACAGATGTATACTTCACATACCATCACTAATAGAAAACTTGTCTATAGTGACAAGTCATAAGTTCAGAATAAAAAAAGAATATTTTCAACAAAGCAAGTTTGAACTTTAAACCTTTGATATTCTACTCAAACGTTGTCACAAAATCATGTTACAATAATTAGCAGGTTGGATTGGAACTTGAGCAAGTAAAATCTAGTTAAATTCGAACTATTCACTCACTGCATGCAACGAATCCAGATAGCAATACAACAGTAAATCGTACGTACAGTATCAGTATCCAAAAGCAAAAGCACATTGCTATTCAGTTATAAGGAGCAGCTGCTGCTCACTATTTTCAACAGAAATTTCCATACACAAAATTCTTTAGCCAATGGATCCTGATGCATTTTCAGCAAGTTTGTTTAAATGGGACCCTAGATCCGCCGTGCCACCCCTTAGCCGGATGCTTGAAGCAGTAGCGCCACCTCCTCCTCCACCTCAGCCTATGCAGACATTTTCAGTGAGAGCAAGGGAGTTGGGAAGTTTAGAGGACTTGCTTCAACCTTATGGAATAAGATATTTTACTGCTGCTAAAATAGCTGAGCTTGGATTCACAGTTAACACACTATTGGATATGAAGGATGAGGAACTTGACGAAATGATGAACAGTTTATCACATATTTTCCGGTGGGATCTTCTTGTTGGGGAGAGGTACGGGATCAAGGCTGCTGTGAGGGCCGAAAGGCGGCGCCACCAGCTCCTCCTCCCCCAGGACACTACAAATGCCCTTGATGCACTCTCTCAAGAAGGTATTGTTTGCAATTTATTATTATTAATTTTTTCATTTTCTTTTAAAAATTGTAGCATGAAATGTTACATAAGTTTGCCAAGATTTATAGGAAGTTAAGTTTCCATTTCTATGAATTAAATACGTATTAATATCATGCATGATGAGAGCCAAATTGCAAGAAAATGTTTCGTATTCAGCAAGAAATATCATATGCAATATTACTCAAACATGCACATGTAACATTTTTCTTTCAATTTTTTATTTTATTTTTAAATTTCCCTTGTAAAAATTGATTAAACTAGGCTTATCGGTGGAGCCGGTCCAACATGAAAAGGAAGCCGGGGGCAGTGGCGGAAGGACGTGGGAGATGGTGGGAGGAGGAGGAGGCGAGAAGCAGCGACGAAGGAAAAAGGGACGGTCGAGAATAGTTTCATTGGAAGAGGAGGACGACGAGACTGAGGGAGCCGAGGAGAATGAGAGCGGCGGTGGTTGTGGAAGTGAGAGGCAACGCGAACATCCCTTCATCGTGACGGTACCCGGGGAAGTGGCACGTGGCAAGAAGAATGGCCTTGATTATCTCTTCCATCTCTATGAACAATGCCATGATTTCTTGATTCAAGTTCAGAATATCGCCAAGGAAAGAGGTGAAAAATGTCCCACGAAGGTCAGTTAACAATAAATTTTAATCTTTCATTCCATTTCAAATGGTTACCTTTTTATTCACACGATTTCATTTTCCTAGAAAGACTTGTTCTCTCGACTAATTTACTAGCCTTTGATGAAAATTAAAACTAAGATTTTAATGTTAGTCAAAGACAATAATTAATTCTAACCATGTATTTTATGGCCTCACAACTTTTAATCCAAACATTTTATTAAAATTTACTTAAAATCTGATTTTAATCAACATCAAACACATGCTAAGAGGACAACACGTGAATCATAACTAGGAATATACTATTTTTCGAGTAAAAATAATGATTTACCTCAAATTATATGTTCGACCAAATCTAGTTCGATTATATCTTTTCAATCCAATCACTCTTGACTAGTTGACCCTCTACTCCATAAGAAATTAGGGTCCGTTTGATTGTAAAAATAGAAAAGACAAATCAATTTCATGTAAATTGAAAAAGAAAAAATCATCAAAACCATAGGAGTGTATTTTCCATGGAATTGGCCAAAAACATGTTTTTAACTGTTTGTACCTTAGAATTCGAACTCCATTTTCACTTTTGTATCAAAAAGTCAATGTAGAAAATGAATTCTTCGAATATGACATTTTTCATGAAATTTCTGCCAATCAAACTAACCCTAATACAAAACCACTCTATATTAATACATAGTGACAATTAATATCTAGGACTCGTTTGACCTATTTTTTGAAGAACTTTTGTCATAGTGAATTTTTGAAGAGTGTGATTAAAATAAGAAAAAAAATTGTGTTTTCTAGATAAAGAGATTGTGATTA